CAGAAATCCAGGCCGGCATCTTTCTACCCCATATGGTGGCGGCGATAGCCAGGAAGTGAGCCAGCCGCCCAACTTGGGGTTTGGGGTCCACGTAGCAGGATGCACCCCCAAGGCCTGTGACCCATGGGGTGGGAAGTGGGCTGTGCAGGGACTCGCCCATGGTGGGATAACCCGGCTGTCCACAAGCAGCCCCCTCTGAATGGGGGTCCTGGTCAGCTTGGGCCATCCTAAACTCATGTACCAATCAGATTTGGAAAACTAGGCACTCTGTGGTTTCCCTGGCCCTGGAAGAAGGGCCACCCCCAGTGGCGGTCCCAGGATCCCTAATGGGGTGCAGTGTGAACCCATCCAGGGTCTCAGAGGCCAACCTGGACTCACAGCATGTCCTGTGGTTAGTGGTACAGGCAGGCCCTTGGGCCGTGACCCACTTACAGCAGTGGCCATCCAGCCCAGAATCCATGGGGACAGCCAAAAGCCAAGGCAGCCTACCTTAACTTCTGGGTGTCCTTGGACAAGGTAACAGGACCTTTGTCATCTTTTTTTGAGACAAGTTCTCCCTGTTGTGAGCTATGGTGTGATCACAGCTCACAGCAGCCTCCCCCTTCCAGGCTCAAGGGATCCTTCAGCCTCAGCCTCCCAAAGTGCTGGGATTACAGGTGTGAGCCACTGCACCCAGCCTCCCAGTCTTCCGAAAGCCAAAGACCCTGTCAGGCTGCTGCATGGTGCTGGCCACCACCCTGCGGACCACAGGCTCCTAAAACAGCCACCCCAGGGACCACAACACCCGAGTGTTGCCTGGGGCAGAAGCCCTGACTCACATTCCCCCACAGACCTTGGAAAAGCACACCTCAGGACCTCCCAGCATCCTCAGCTGAGCAAATTTGTGTCTAGTTTGGAAAATCTGCGACTGCTTTGAGCTGGCACACTTGAAACAGTAATTTGGTGTGGTCAGCTGTGGGGGCCTCTGAGCCCAAAGGCTGTTACTTTGCCTGTCACTTCCCCTCAAACACACTTAAGTTCTGAGATCTGGGAGCAGCACCCCACCCCCAACAGCCCAGCTGGCACTGTTTCGGGGACACACTGACCTCCAGTCCTCAGGCCAGGAGTTAGGGCAGGTGTCCCCAAACTACGGCCCGCGGGCCGCATACGGCCCCCTCAGGCCATTTATCTGGCCCCCCCGCCGCACTTTAGGAAGGGGCACCTCTTTCATTGGTGGTCAGTGAGAGGAGCACAGTATGTGACAGCCCTCCAACGCTCTGAGGGACAGTGAACTGGCCCCGTGTAAAAAGTTTGGGAACGCCTGAGTTAGGGTATCCGAAGCCCATGGGGACCCACCTGCTTCTGTCCCTCCAGGACCTCCTGCCTTGAGCCGCGGTTCTGGCTAACACAGAGCTACCTGGGTTTGCAGGAGATGGGCGTCTTTTAAGCAGGCGTCCTCGGGCAATTGAAACCACGCACTGACCCACAGCTGTTGAGAGTAAGCCCAGCGAAGGGGGCACGCTTCCCCGAGGCTTCGGTGGGAGAGAGGCTGTGGCCCAGCCCCAGCAGGCCCTTACTACACGCCGGAGGTCAGGTGTGGACCCAGCCACGCGCCCGTGATTACCTGCAGGTTTTCTACACTTGTATTTAAGAGCTTAAATTATTTTTGAAAATCACTTAGAACCTTCCACAGATGATACAACAGTCATTGCCATGAGCTCCTTTTAACTCAAGGAGGCGCTGCCTTCGGTATTTTCCACGGCCCCGTGGTTGCCTCTGTGAACATACGCCCCGCACGCATTCACCCATCATCGCTCCCACCCTCCAGCTGCCCGGGGTCTCAGGGCTCCGGGGAAAGCGCTTCCCAGACCTGGAGAGCCTGTTGTGACCCTGGGGCTGGAGGGAGGTCGGCCTGCAGGTCACAGGGTACCCTGGGACAGAGCCCTCCTCCGCAGAGCCCAGGACACAGGCAGGTGGGGGACGGGGCGGGTCCTGGGTCCTTCTGTTCCCAGCAGAGCTGACTGATGTCAGAAGCTGCCTCCGTCACCCACTCAGAGTTGTGGCTGCCGCCAGAGGCCAGTCCCAGGAGACCCTGCCACAGCTTCCCACTAAGAAGGGGTCCGGGCCCCCATGCTGGGGTGGACCAAGCCCTTAAGTCAGTGTGAAGGGGCCCCAGGTGCACGAGCCTCCCCCACAGTCTCGGCTGGCCATAGGTGGGGTTCTCAGCGCCCCTGCCCCAAGCCAGGCCCAGCTGCACAGCCAGTTCCCGGCAGGTCACAAGCCCCTGGGGCCCTGGCAGCCATTTCTAGGCCAGCGGAAAGAGCCTTCTGTGTTCTCACCCAGCGGCCCAATTAGTGGCCTGATTTCAGAAAAGCGCCCCTGAACTCCTGGGAGGCTGCGAGGTGGCGGTCACTCAGTTGGGGAACAGCTGCCATTCCTCCCTGACAGTCCTCCTGACAGAAATCACTGAAGCCGGGTCATGCTGTTGGCTGGGGGAGGCAGACTGTACACCCCAAGGCTGACTCCAGCTCTAGGGGGACCTGAATGTATTTGGGGGCTCCCAAGCACAGCCTTGGTAGGAAGGGATATGTCAGAGTCTCAGACTCCAGTCTTACTGAGGATGGGGTCTCACAGCCCCTCACACAGGAGTGGAGGTTACTGCACCCAACTGGGTCAGCACAAGACCTGCTTCTGACCCTGGGGGTCCACACGACATGGGGTGTGACTTGTGTCCCTCCAAGCAACCAGAAGTGGGGTGAAAGACGGGACCCACCACCGTGCCGGGGACATGGGCCTGGAGCAGACTCAAGGCCCTGACCCCACTTCCCTCAACTTCCTCCTGCCCTCAGCCTTGCGGGTCACCCAGACCCTGCTCAGGTAGGCAGGCCAGGCCCTCCATGTAGCACACCTGCCTCTTCTCTCCTGAGATGCTCAGGTCTGGCAGGAACTGCCTGGACCCTGGGGCAGTCTCTCTCCAGGACGCGGCCCCACGGCCCGTCTTGGCTGTCCTGGTGGCCCACACCACACCCCAACTCGTGTCCTGACCTGCTGGCGACACTGGCAGTGCTGGATAGAGCTCAGGCACCCTCGGTGACTTGGGTCCAGTGAATTGCCCAAAAACCAAAACCCAGAGCCTTGGCAACCCTGTTAAGAGACGCCCCAGCTCCTTCCAGATGAGCAGATGCAAAGGCCTCTTGGGGTCCCAAGAACGGCCGCAGAACCCCTGGCTCTCACAACTCAGCCGCAGAGCTCAGGGTGTCCCTACCCTGGCCCTGGCTCCAGGCCACCTACTGTCCCAGTGAGCTCAGGGGACACTTCCTGAGGCCCAAAGCCACTGCTGTCCCAGTGAGTTCAGGGGACACTTCCTGAAGCCCAAAGCCACTGCTGTCCCAGTGAACTTGGAGGACATGCCTGGGTCTCAAAGACTCCTGCTGTCCCTGTGAACATGGGGACACATCTTGGGGTCCCCTCCCCCTTGCCCGCATCCTGGGGTGGTACACACCCCTTCCCCAACAGCCATTCCACTCTGGCACCCAGGTGGAGCGGCACTCCCAGCCACAGGGACTGCCCACAGCAGCCCAGATACCAAGGCACATCCTGAATCACAGCACCCAAGGGCCCAGGCAGCGAGGGCAGGCACCAGGGCACTCTCGTCCAGCCCCCACCGTGCCCAGAGGGGCAGCCATCTGTCTGAGGAGGTGGCCTGGCACCCTGGGCTTTAAGCTCCCCCACCCCACCCCCAAATCCATAATAAAAATAATCCCTTCCCTGATGTGCCCCAGTTCCAGAAGCATCTCTGAACCAGCCGACCCACATCAGGGTGGGAGGTGCAGGTGGCCCCAATTCTTGGAGTCACAGAGAGCAGGAGGCCTGCTGAGTGGCCTCAGGGGCCTGGGAGCCCGAGGGGGATGGGGCCCACCTCCCCCCGACCACCCCTGCAGGGCTCTGGGCCACTCGAGGCAGGCCAGGCAGTTCCCTGTGACATGACGGAGGCAGAGTGACCTCTCACCGGCCCCTGGCCTTGGGAGCACCTGTGAAGGGCCTGGCCCAGGCCTCCCTGGGACGTGGTGGCCCAGCCTCTGCAGGGACTAAGTTTGGGGAGCTTGGCCCTGCACCCTCGGAGGTGGCTGCTGCTGCCTGAGGACCTCCACCCCGGATGCAGCCCGGTGTGTACAGGGTGCAGCTCCCATAGGAGCCCAAGGGGTGCACCAGGGGCGGGGTGGATACACGGAGAAACCTGGAGGAAAAACAGGGGCCGGTCTCAGCTCCACAGGCTGACGCGTGGCGAGCCCCAGAGGGAAGCCCCTCCCCAGAGCCTCGAGGCCGCCCGGGCCCAGCCTGAGTGCCACAGCCGACACACCTCTCCCGGGGCAGTGACCCCCACAGCACCCACGATGGGCCTGGTGTCGGGGACGCCTCAGGACGCCCTCGGCTCAGGGCAGACCAGAGTGTGGCACCCTCCTGCCCTCATGAGCTGCCCACTGTGCCCACCACTGGCCTGGGAATGGGGAGTTGGGACGGAGCAGGGAGCTCCACAGAGGCCCAAGGCCCTCAGCAGAAAGAGGCTCACATCCCAGGGTGAGCCACAAGGCCCATACAGGACGCCCTGTGGGGGACATGGCTGAGGGTCACCCAAACCCTGCAGGCTGCAGAGACCCCAGAGAGCAAAGGGTCCTGGCCCCATCCCCACTCCTCCCGGTTGGCCCAGCACACTGGAGGGGGAAGGCCCTGACCAGAGGATGCTAAACACCCCTAGTATGCAGCCCAGGAACCCGCCCCCCAGGTTGGAGACTGCTCCACCAGTGCCCAAGCCGGCCCCTTGGGGAAGCTGGACCAGCCCCACACTGGCCCCTGCCTGTATGTCCATGCGCTGGATGAGCCCCGGGGAGGCAGCAGCACAGGCTGTCTCTGGGGTCAGATGAGCCCTGAGGAGGGGGTGGGGGCGGCGCCAGGGCCCGGGTGGCGGGAGGGGCGGGGCCCAGCGGGGCTCTGCCGGGCGGACTCCCGGCACAGCACTTAGCCCTCGCTGTCACTCGTGGTCGCCTGGCCGTTGTCATCACTGTCCCTACGCTGTCACCTTTCAAGGTAGGGCCAACGAACAGGTCCCTGGGGCTGGGGAGGGCCCGTGGCTTTCGGCTTGCCCAAGTCAGTCCCCTGGGTTCACCCTAACTCCCGGGTGGTGCTGCAAGCAGGGTGGCGGCTTATGAGGTTCGTGGGAGCCGTGGTCGGTCTGAGCACCGTGCGCACCCGCAGTGCCTGCCAAGTGCCGTGGCAGGGGGCGTCCACGGGGTGCATGCAGCGGGCAGCCGGGCTGGGCGAGGACCCCCTGGCAGCCAGCCCCACACCCTCGTAGCTGTCTATGTGTGGGGGTCTCCGAGGAAAGTCCCGCACAGAGGGAGGGAATCTTCTGCATGACCCTAATCGTTCCCCCAGAAACCTGCCCCCACCCACTCCCTGGGCTCCCACCCAGCTCCTGGCAGACCCTCCCCCAGCTTCTGACAGTCTGTCCAATTAACGAACCAGATCCCACCGGCACCAGGCCTTGGGCCCCTCCCTAGGTGGGTGGCACAGCTGTGAGATTAAAGGGATGGGGAGCCTGTTGGGCCAGGAGACCCCTTGACAGCCAGAGGAAAGCTCCCCTAAACTCAGCGCCAGCTCCCTACTCACCCTCCCAAGGTCGAGGAAGCCAGCCCCGTCTCCTAACCTCAGGGATTGGGGCCAGCGTTGGGGCAGAGTGAGACTCCCTGTGCCCCTGGAGTGTGCAGCGGGTGGGAGAGGCAGGGGGCTTCCCAACCCCCCTCGCCTTGAACTTCCAACAGTTCTGAGAGGTGTCAACCTGTGGCTTTTCCCACGCTGGCCACAAGCAGAAAGCCTGCAGGTGACCTGTGTGTGGCTGCCAAGCACACTGGGGACCCAGGGGCCACCCACAGCACACATCCCAGACTCAGGCCATGTAGCCTGAGCCTCCAAGGTCCTGAGCACACACCCCAGCCCAGCCCAGCCCACCCCACCTGCCAAAAATGCAAACTGCAGCAAAGCCTTCCTGCCCAGCAGTCACCAGCTCTGAGCTGGGCTCTGCCCATGCAAAACAGGGGGGCACCCAGTGGACCTGGCCCACCCCACACCGTGGTCTGGGTCAGCCTGCAAGGGCCTCACTGGGAGGGTGGGAGCTGGGGACCTGCCATGCTGGGCACCCATTCCGTTGTCTCCAAGGGACCTTCGTCAGGTGTGGGGGATGGGGGTAGCTGAGGATGGAAAGTTTCTCCTGCAGTTAATTAACCCCGCCGGGCGAGTGGGCTGGAGCCTTGTAGGAACACGCCCTGTGCCCTGCACCCTGGCAACACCTGTGGACCTGGGGGACGACAGGGGTGGAGAGAGCAGGACTCAGGGAGCTCGCCCAGGCAGTGGTGGGGACTCTAACCAGTTCATCGTGGGGGGCTCAGCTCAGGCCTGCGGGGAGGGAGCGGCTAAGGGGTGGGGACCGCAGGCTGGCGGCACTGGTCCTGCGGCTTCCTCCTGCTCTCTCCAGCCCCAGGCTGGCTGCTTCGGAAGCCCCCGACGCCATGGAGGAGTGGGACGTGCCACAGATGAAGAAGGAGGTGGAGAGCCTCAAGTACCAGCTGTCCTACCAGCGAGAGATGGCCTCCAAGACCATCCCCGAGTGAGTGCCCCACCCGCCTGATTTCCCTCTCGTTTGTCTGCCCCGCGCTGGCCGCTCATTTCCATAGCCAAGACCAGCGCCCACGGGCAGGTGCAGCAGGAGGCCCTCGGGGGCCAGGTGCCACCCTCACGTGCCGGCCGCCCACCTGTCCACCCACAGGCTGCTGAAGTGGATTGAGGACGGGATCCCCAAAGACCCTTTCCTGAACCCCGACCTGATGAAGAACAACCCGTGGGTGGAGAAGGGCAAGTGCACCATCCTGTGAGCCCGCACTGGGCCCACTCCCACCGGCCCGCGAGCTCTGCCCGGCCCACTCCCACCGGCCCGCGAGCCCCCGCCCGGCCCACTCCCACCGGCCCGCAAGCCCGCGCCCGGCCCACTCCCACCGTCCAGCGAGCCCTGCCCAGCCCACTCCACCATCGCGCGAGCCCACGCCACTCGCGCGTGACTGCAGTCTGTAAAGGTGTGACTTTATAAAGAGCTTCCGGGTTCTGTCCCTCCGCTCCGTCCACGGGGAGCAACGCGGAGCGTTTCACGGGGCAGAGGAAACTAGAGCAGGTCTCGGATGTACAGGCTGCGCCGCACCGCGTTCGAGACGCCCTCGTTGAAGCGGAACCAGACCTGGCTCCTGCCCACCGCCGTGCCCATGCGCCGCTCCGCTGAGTCCTGCTCCGGGGCCGTGTCCCCTGTGGGGCCACAGTGTTGCTCCTCAGCTGCACCCCGGTACCCAGGTCCCCCACAACCTTGCAAACCCACACACACCTGCACTCGGCGCTGCCACGCTCCTGACCACCACACGTCCAAAGAAGTCCCTCTCAGGCTGACCGGGAAGAGGGAGGGTTTGGTCAGCCCCGCAGGGCAGACACCCTATGCAGCCCCTGCCCACGATGGGAGGACCGAGGGCCTTTCCAGGGAGGAGGGACCGGAGCACCTCTGAGACACCTTTCCCAACCTGGCCCAGGCCAGCACCCCCCACCCCTCACTGCCATCTACTCCTTAGACAGGGACCAGGCAGGAAGCCAATAGGGCCACTCTTGTGCCCAGGCAGGAGACAGGCCCGGGTGGAACCCTGGTGGACCTTCAGAGTCCCGCTTAGGGCACTGAGCCAGCTCCACCCCAAGCCAGACTCCTCCTGTGGCTCAGCCCACCCCCCCACCCCGAAGTTGATTTGGCCCCGCCCATGGCAGTCCCAGCCCCACCCCCAAAGGTACCTGGGCCCCGCCCCATAGCGGCTCCAGCCCCACCCCAAAGGGACCCTGGCCCCGCCCCATGGCTCTCCCAGCCCCACCCCCAAAGGTAGCCGGGCCCGGCCCCATAGCTGCTCCAGCCCCACCCCAAAGGGACTCCGGCCCCGCCCCACGGCTCTCCCACCCCCACCGCCAAAGGTACCCGGGCCCCGCCCCATGGCTGCCCCGGCCCCACCCCCCGAAGTACCCGGGTCCCGCCCCTGCTGCTGCCCCTTCTTGCACCTGCTCCTCTGGGGCCGCGCGCCTCATGATGTGCTCCAGCCGCTGTTCGTGGTTGCGTGGGGCAGGTCGCCGCACCCCTTTCTCCCCACTGCCCCCCAGCAGACCCTCGAGCCCTGGGGGGCTCCCGTCCACCTGCAGGGAGCAGGCACTGTCAGGGTTGGCCACACAGGGCTACAGTGGGGATGGTCCATGCCCAAGACCAACCTGCTTCAGAACCTGGGTGGGCTCACCTGGGGGCTGTTCCCTGCCCGGGCTGAAGCCTCTGCCCGCCGCATCTTCTCCACCTCAATCTCTCGGGCAATGAGCTGCTTGGCCTGGTAGGTGAGGGGCTTGCGGGCAGGCAGCTCAGGGAAGCGGCAGAGCTCCTCCACATTCCTGCTCAGGGTGGGCAGGCACCCGGGCACCGCTCAGTGGGTCTAGGCCCAGGGCCAGAGACCCACCGGGCGCTCCAACCGCGAACTCCAAATGCCACAACAGCAGAGTGGGAATGTGGGGGTGAATCCTGGCACCACTGCACCCCAGCCCTGCAGCAGCCAGGTTTAACAACCCCGAGCCTCAGTTTCCCCAACTGCAAGCATACACGGGATGACGAAACCTGCTGAGGGTTTCACAGAGTGACTAGACATCCTGCACGCCGGTCCCGTCGCCGGGGCAGCAGGGACCCCGGGGCCACTGCCCCGTGCCTCAGCCCCGCCACCCCGTGGCCAACCGACAGTGGGACTCGGAGCCTTAGGCAGCAAGGCACGCTCAAGGCCGCCTGGCTGCCAGCTCCATGTGGGGACACTAAGGCAGGGAGCAGCTCTGCAGCAGAACTCTGGTCCCACGGCTGTGCCCAGCCTCCCATAGTCACATCTGGGCAAAGGCTGCACCCACCACCCCCAGACACCCTCCTATGGCCGTGCTCTCAGACTCCTGGTCCCACGAGGGCCTTGGCACCTGGAGCGCCGCCCCCAGTCCCCACCCCAGGCGCCGGCGGACTCACGGCTCAAGCCTGTAGATGTACTGCCCGTCGGGCGTGCGCTCCTGGCGGTAGGTCAGGCTGTAGGCGAGCATCGTGCCCACCAGGCTGGCCAGCTGTTGCTTCTCGCGGACGCTGTACAGCTGCGTGCTGACCTGGGTGGGGCAGCAGGCGGGGGGTTGAGCAGGCTGTACTGCTGTGTGCTCACCTGGGGTGGGGGAGCCGCAGGTGGGGAGTCCCCCACCCCGGGAAGGACACTCACAGGGCGCAGCTTGGGTGCGAGAATGTCGAGGAGCAGGCAGAGCGCATCCAGGAGCAGGGCCTGGGGCGTGGCCCGGCTGCGCGTGGCTGGCACGATGCCGGACACCAGCGTCTGGATCAGGTTCCTCATCTGGCTCATCCGGCTCTGGGCCTGGGCAGTGGGTGACCCAAGGCCTGGTCACAGGGGCCTCCCAGGCCAGGTGGGGAAAGGGCAGGGAAGCAACCACACAGTCGGACGGCACAGGGGGCTGGGGCGGGCACACCTCCTGCTGGCTGCTGGGGAAGGTGATCCTGGGCGTGTGGCTGGAGGCAAACAGCACATGGAAGGCCACGGGCAGGAAGGGTGGGTAGCGCAGCAGCTGGAAGCTCTGGCTGTGGTGGGCAGCCCGTGCCAGCAGGTCATCGAAGGCCAGCCAGTCGAGGGCCGTGCACACGGCACCCAGACTGGAGTCCCGCAGGCGCAGGCGCAGGAAGTTGTCAAACAGGCCCTGCAGGAGGCCAGCAACCCTGAGCTCCTGCCCCTCACGCCCCTGCCCACCCCAGGGAAGGCACACCACCTCGGCCCCCCACCTCCCGCCTGCCCCGGGAGGCCGGGTGTCTGGGGCAGCAGCACACACCATCGAGGAGCCACAGGGCCCAGGGGCTGGGGGAGGGTCCACCCTGAGCATCCCCACTCCAGCTGACAGAGGCTGAAGGGAGTTGACCGCCCACCAGGGGGCCTCCAGGAGCTGAAGGGGTCCAGCCTCACTCACCCCACCTTAGACGGCCTGAGGAAGCCCCACCCACCAGAATCCAGGGCACATTCTGCAGGGGAGTCCATCGCCCCCGCTGCTCCACACCGCCCCCCCGACACCACCTCTCTACACCACAGATTCAAGAATTGGTCGCAGATCCCCAGTCCCTAATCCAAAGCCGCTTAGAGTTGGTAGGTAGCTTAGCCAGGGACTCCCGGAGGCAGGGCGGCAGGAGGCCTCTACCGCTTGCTCAGGCCAAGCTGTCACTGCCCCACGTGCCAGCCCCTCACAGCCCCAGGCCAGGCGGTCACGCAGAGGCTCCACCCCAACTGGCTGAGTCCCGAGCAGCCTCCACCGAAGCCTCCCCAGTCAGACACTGGCTACCTCTCTCCTTGCCTGCCGAGGCCCATGCCCTGCAGGCCCCCCTCCTCCGGGCTCCGGCTCCCCACCTCAGAGGCCTCCTGGTGCCCCATCTCCCGACGCCCGCCTCCCTCTCTCAGCACCCCAAAGCATCTCCCCTCCTCACGGAGGGCCAGCAGGGGCAAGGGCACAGCCCAGGTCCTGGCCAAGCGACCCCCAGCAGGGATTCTGGTGGAGGGCAGCTACCTGGACCACCTTCTCGTGCTCGCCCGTAGAGGCAGCCGCGTGCAGCACGTGGTAGAATCGCTGTGAGGCCGAGGTCAGGGAGCCTGCGTCCCCGTCACCCAGAAGGAGCGTGTCAGCAGGCAGGGCAGGGTCCTGGCCCACACGGCGCCTGCAGATGGTGGGGGCTGAAGCTGGATGGGCCCGTGTGTAAGCAGAGGCGCCCCCACTCCACGCTTCTCAGCAGGGCCCTCACTCCCTCGCTCACGTAGAGACAGCTGGGGACACAACCTGCCCTCAACCCCCTGAAAACCTCCCTAAACGTGAGGAGGAGCCCTGTCCTGACCCTCTGGGTCCAAGAGACCCCAGGGTGAGCCCCCCCCACCCCAGGGTCCAGGCCAGGAGCAGCACGTCCCGCAGCCCCAGGCTGGTACCTCTCATGCCCCGAGGCACCACCAGACCAGCACCCCCTGGGGCCCCACATCAGGCCACAGAGAGACATGCTGGCTGCTCCCACCCACAGGAGACCTCGAGGTACGGGCAGGCAGGGGCACGGACGCCACAGCCCAGACAGAACGTGGCAAAACTGAGGGTGCAGCCGGGCCAGAGGCGGAAGCCAAGCCACGGGGTGCCCTGGGGGCCCCACTGAATCGGGCCATCCTTCCCACAGGGGCCCTGGTGACTTCCGTGGCTGCGCCACCAAGGCTGAATGACGAGAACAAGCCAGGGAAAGGCCAGGAGGGCCCTGGAGGGTGGCAGGCAGGCACAGGCTCAGGACGCGGAGTCCCCAGCTCGGCCGTGCTGGTCTCACAGAGGGCCAACATCCTGGGGCCTGGGCACCATGGCTGTCTGAGCCAAGGCCGTGCCGCCTACCTCTGGGCTCGAGGCAGCTGGAAGACCTCCTGCCACACTGAGAAGAGCCCTCTGCGCTGGTCCTTGAGGCCCACGCGTGTGGCCCGCACGTCCCGCACACTCAGCTCCCGCTGGCCCTGGCTGTGCAAAAACTGGACAAGCGGGGGAGGCATAAGAGGCAGCCAACTCCCGACCCCTTCCCTTCCCGCCCTGCCCGGCGCCTGCCCGGCCCCCACCTGCAGGGTGTTGATGCAGGCCCGAATGTCATTGTCCGTTTTCTCGCAGAGGGCGGCCAGCGCCCCAGGGTCGGCCCTCAGGCCCCGCCGCAGGGAAACCTGCGGGAGAAGTCGTCTGCGGAGGGTGCCAGCGTCTGCCCCACCCTGCCGGGGATACTGGGGGCTCCACAGGGAGGGGGACAGGGAAA